AATTAACTGTACAGAATTACAAACACAAAATTACAATTCAATAAGGTCTCTTAATTTTACGGGACATATCTTCTTCCGTACTGGTCTCCGTCTTGTTGGCTTCTGCTTCACGTGGGGTTCTTCTGCTTCATCAGGAAATGTCCTATCGTCGGTAACAGTCACATCAGTGGTAGTAACTTCACCAAGAGCTTCACCGTATCCCTTCTCAAAACTGAGTAGAGTTTCTTCTTCGATGTTGGCTTTTTCAGGTGACACCTCTTCAGCAGCGTCATTTGTTCCTTTATTCACCTCGTCCCAACTGAAATGCCCTGGACTGTGAAAACGCCAAAGCCTGTTAGCATGCACCACTTTTGGCTTACCTCGCCGACCACATTTTATCCAGAAAATCACGTCTGAGAGACGATCCCCTATGTAATATGGGCCTTCCCATGGAGAAGACAACTTAGGAGACATCCCTTTGGTCTTCCTGGGATTATACAACCATACCTTGTCCCCAGGTACAAAGCTGACTTCAGTAGATCTCTTATTCTAAGTTAACTTCATCGAATCAGCAGACGTTTTAAAGTTTGAATGCACTTGATGGTGAATATCATCCATCCTTTCCGATAACACTTCCACAAACTCTGACACATTCTCAGGCAACTCTTCATAAGGTGGGCGTCCTATTAACAGATCCACTGGCAACTGAAGTTCTCGACCAAACATCAACTTTGCTGGAGTGTATCCAGTGGTTTCATGCTCTGCTGTCCTATAGGCCATCAACAGTGGAGGAAGTAAGACATCCCAGTCATCTTGGCAGCTATTACAAAACTTTGCCAATTCCTGTCCCAGTGTCCAGTTGTACTTTTCTACCATCCCGTCAGACTGTGGGTGAAGTGGCGTTGTCCTAGTCTTTCGGATGCCAAACAACTTGCAGCATTCTTGGAACACAGCTGATTCAAAGTTACGCCTTCATCTGAATGCAGTTCATATGGCATACCAAATCTGAAGAAGAAATCACTAATAGCCGAAGCTTCCGTTGGTATTGCATATGCCTCAGGCCACTTGGTGAAATAATCCATCACCACACAAATGTACTTGTTTCCAGCACTGAGCTTTCTTGTGCCCAGGT